ATTAAGCTGCTTCGCCAGTTCCTCCCATAATTTATTGGAAGTAATTCTTCCTTGCGCAGAGTTTGGAAAGTTATTTTTTGCCAAGCATGGATGACTTGACATGAATTCCGCCATTACATMTTTTTGTGTAGGATTTAATTTATTATAATTTGTCCTAAAATAGATTTATTATTAAAAATTTTCTAAACTTATAAATTGTTTACAATATACTCACATTTTTAAATAAATTCGTCTGTTACGATCGGTAGTTTGCGTTCGAATGACGGTTCGAACGAACGGATACGTTTATATACTCGCTCACGTACGTCATCATGCCAGTTTACGATTTAAGCGTTACGATCACGAATATAAACGTTACGATCACGTATGTCATAATACGAAATACAGACTTTTACGTGACGAGTGATACGTTCACGGATGTAACGATTCGACCCCAGATTGCGCAATGACGAGTTCAAATTTTGTTCGTTCTGCGCATCTACGTCACGGTTGACCTACGTACAATCAGCTGATTTTCACTTGCTTGTTTTTCTTTACAATAAGAATCAATTTTGTATTGCAGGCATACAAAAACATGAATATCATTAAAAGCTAACATCAATACAAGTGAATATTAATAAAAAATATCTATATGTGATTATTTTATAGTAAACATTTTCTACATATTCAATTCATTGTATTTTCGTTGCATTATTTAATTTTGTCTGCTTGCTGTGTTTGTTTCAACTATATACATACATTTATGCAAATAAAAATATTGAATATTTTGTGACAATTGTCTTATTTAATTTTCTTTTTTTGCTGTACATATTTTCAATTAAGTTTTTATTTAAAGAACGAATCCTAAAATACATTCTAGCTCTGATAAACAATTATTTTACTTTGATGCTACAATTAATAAAATTACTTAAATCTAAGTGCTTCTGGACGTAATTTGTACATATGTATATGCAAATCAGTACCATTTAAGTCTTCAAATACTGCTAGCAAGGCTCTCATATGCTCCATCAACATATCTGTTGGTTTTGAGAGTCCTCTTTTAGATAGGTGRTCCATTCAAGTATAAGACGAACAATTTTCTGAATTGGCACAAATTTCGGGSTTGTCTTTACCAAGTTCATAATTTTTTTCAATTGGGTCAGCGAAATTTAGATCAACGTTGAAAAATATTACCGGCAAAAATATAATAAACATACATAC